CTTCTTTGGATGCATACAGAGTGGAATAAATATTGAGGAGATATATATACACACATACAGAGAGCATAAACAGGTGGGAGTTGTCTTACCAACTCTGAGAGGCCAATTCAGTAAGAGAAAAAACACTTTTGAAGTGATAATCAAGCTAGCCCAGTACAGACAGTTTGATAAGAAGTGTGAGAATACTTACAATTCAAACTGAATTGATATGCAAACTAGACACAATCAACTCAGGATTGAATAAGGACTGGGAATGGCTGAGCCATTACAAACATTGAATCTATCTCCCCTTGTAAGTATTCTCACACTTCTTATCAAACTGTCTGTACTGGGCTATCTTGATTATCACTTCTAAAAGTTTTTTTTCTCTTACTGAATAGGCCTCTCAGAGTTGGTAAGACAACTCCCACCTGTTTATGCTCTCTGTATGTGTGTATATATATCTCCTCAATATTTATTCCACTCTGTATGCATCCGAAGAAGTGGGCTGTAGTCCACGAAAACTTATGCTCTAATAAATTAGTTAGTCTCTAAGGTGCCACAAGTACTCCTGTTCTTTTAACATAGATTTTTGAATATCATGGTATATAAGTTATATATTTTTAATAGTATTAAAGCTTTTTCATTCAAACCAGACATTGCAAGAGCTTTTATAATTATGTAATATTATATAATTATATAGCTTGAAACCTAATACTAAATATTTATATATTTAAATTTTAAAGTACGGTATATATAGTAGCGCTAGGTAGGAAATAGTTTTACTGTCCTGAGATATAAATTTTTTCCTATTTCAAACTGGGACAAAAAGTTGAAATCTCAATTTTTCAGAAATTCATAATCTGAGAAAAATTTCTGATTGGGTTGACTGAAATGTTTAATTTTTGATAATTTCAAAACATTTTGTGATTTGATTTCAACCTTTTAATGTATTTAAAACCTTTTTTGTTGTTGTTATCCATTAACTAAAATTTTGGAATGAAAGGCTGTTTTGAATCCAAAAACTAAATTTTTCATTTGAAAATGTCAAAATGGAGCATTTCAACAATTTTGAAACTTTTTTAAAAAAATTCAAATTAGGATATTAATCAAAAATTACTCTTTCTGGATAACAATTCCTGTTTTGACGAATCTGCATTTTCCAACATCTACAACAAATATTTAGCTGGAAAATTCCCAACAATCTCTCATATGGAATCATCCCAAAAATTCTACTTTGGACTTACACATTGCATTTCCTCTCCTGTTTTAACCAATCACCACCTTTTATTCTCCTTAATCAGAGCAAGTGAGACTACTGATTTGGCTACCAATTGAATCAGCAAAATAGTCTTGTATCTCCATGTAGAGTCCCATGTAGAGTCCTAGCCTCTGACACCTGGTAGCCTCCAGTGAGCCCTGCCCATATGAAAGTACAGATTGAAACTTCATATGAATCACTACTTAAACATTCCAGTGAATCTGATGTGTGACATTTGATTTACCAATAAAGCAATTTAAAGTAACTAGAAAGTAATGGTCACCTGAAGTTAAGAACATAACAGACAGTGATTGACTTGCTTGTTCTTCCGTTAAAGGGGTCTATTTTGATATAATCTTCCTTTTCCCTTATAACCTCTGCTCAGGCTAAGCAATTACTTTGACACATTAATACCCTCTCTAGGGTGCACTGTCAATTTAAGATGAACAAAAGTAGACTAGGCAAAATACTAAAATCCTTTTTTCATATAATTTCTTTACCAACATTTTAAATGGGCCTGTTGAGATTTATGCTGGGAATTTAAACATCAATTTAAAATGAAAATACCACTTTGAATTTGGGTGTGTTTTTCTAAGAACTTAAAGTGGATCACAATTAAACATGTATCTCAAGGGCAAGGATAATAAATGATTATCTTAGTATTCCCTGACATTGTGCCTGGCACTGGACAATAATGACTGCATGCCCAATAACTCTGTATTTGGACCCCCTTTCTATCAGTATTATTCAGCTAGGCTTTATAGGGGGATTTGAGGATTCCCATTTGCACACAACCCTTTCTGAATTAAGCAAATCATATACAGTTGTGGTAGTGAAGGACTACAAAGGATGTACCCACTGTTTTCCCTTCCAAAATAGTAGTTTCAATTATATTTCCCCTTCTAGTGACACTTTCTTGGTTTCCCTTGCCTTCAGCCTACTTTGAATCTTTAAGAGGGAATCTTTCCAACTGCCATTATGCTACATTGAATGGGCACCTACAATTTCCAGATTCACTCTAATACCTAGATGTCATATTACTTTGTATGAAGTGGCCCAGCAGCCATGAAAAAGACCTTGTAATCAAAAGTTTTAAATCAGTATTCCTGAAATGAGGACCCTGACCACTTGTTGTCATTAAATATACTATGGTAATAGCACATATAGCAAATTTTTATATCCATAAAAAGAAGTAGGTCAATAAAGTCAAACAAACAAACAAACAAACAAAAACGCCAACAAAACAAAATCAAAACTACCTGTGGTCCCCATTCAGGAAATCAAGACTATTCAAAAAGTGCACTTAAATGTTAAGCACATTTTAAAACCCCACTGAAGTTAATGGGATTTGAACACATGCTTTAGGTTGAGTATGTGCTTAAACTCTTTCCCATATCAGGGTTTATGTTAATTTAACATTATGGCTGAGGTTTACATACAGAAGTGTAATGGAATTAGAAAATGTGGGTCCCAGTTTAGCCATAAATTGGCTCCCACTTGCATATGCTGTACTTTGTATTACGGAATATGTTTTTTACTTTAATACTTTTATATCTATAAGAATATATAATTAGGGATTATCCACTTGAATTTCCTAACTATTCTGTATGTAAAATATCAACCATAGAGCTACATTGCATTTTGTTTGCATTTGATTTCCTCAGTTTATTCTAGTTCTATTTTGTTTTATAAACAATGGAGGGCTGTGTGTTTATCTTGGGGTCATTAGATTTGTAGTAGTAGTTATTTGTGCTCCCAGCCAAAATGTAACTAACACCTTTTTAAGATAGGAAAAAGTAATATGAAATTAAACTCCTGTTTTTATGCCTTTTCTGCCTAAAAATACTAATCTCTCTGTTTACCTTTACTGGAGTGAAATCCCACTGTCCATAGATTGGAAAGGGAAATAAATGTAGTTTACATGGTTTGGATGTGTGATGCTCTATTTGGAACCAGTATTTAGAATTTTGAGTGATCCGAATCTCTTTTGCAGGGATGCTCCACGTTTAATGTGGGATTTCAGTACTGAACTGAACTGGTGCCTTGTCTCCTCCTTATTGGTTTGATCAGTGTTTCTGTCAATCAGAGGATTTGCAAATGTATGGATTAATTTGTTTTTCCAGGGTCCATCAAACCAAACGATTACTGTATCTTCAACAGACTGAAGTATTTCACTAATGCATTCTAGATATTGGCTTTACGTTCAGATTCTCTCCTTTTCCAAATGCGTATCAAGGCCTTCAGGTGGTTAGAATGATCAGAGAGTTGTACATAACACTCGTTAATGTATATTTAACAATATATAGTTAACTAAAGCAAATATACAGTTTAGCATGAGATCAAGACTGGCCTATCTGCGTTTGTCTTTTTTTAGTTCCTCTTCCTTCATGCTAGAAACGTTACTCACACTGTAATGTTTGATCAATCAAGCAGGATGCTATTATTTTGAAGACTTCACTATATATTTTTATTTAGTTCCTTAATTCCTTTGGATTACTCTAAGCATTCCAGGTACTAACATAATTTGTTGAATACTCTTTCTGATCTTTTCACTGGTAATTGGCAGATAAGGTATTTTGTTGAATTGGCTAATTATGCATAATATAATAAATTGATTCCTTTTGGAGAGTTGTATGGCATGGTTATCAATAATTTATTTAAGCGGAATTCTTGTGTACATTGACATAACAGGGTACACAATCCACTTTTCGATAACTCTCTATCACCTTTTAAATCAAAGCGGGGGAGAGCGGTTATCTTAGAGAGAGGTTTTTTTGTTTGCTAGGAGCTCAATAATCCCAGTTGAAATCGATGAGCAGTCATCTCATTTTTTCATCAGGTACATTCTTGTCAAATAACAACACAATTAGCTAAACTTCATTTTCAGCATTCCATCTGAATTGTTATTTGAATAGTTTTTGAAAATCAGAGGTGTTATGCGTGGGTGGAGTGCTATACAACTGCTTTTAAATGAGCTGATTTTCATAGCACATAGTCAGCCATTCAAGCATTTTCTGTGACATGAGGTAGGCATTGTTTTTGCTCATCTATCTCACTGCAGCAGGCCTGAAATGACTGCCAATTAGTCACTTCATAAATCAGCAAGGAACTGGAATTGTGAAGAATCTGTTCAGCATAATTTAGTTAATTAAAAATTAATTTATTTCATTCAGTACAGATAGCATTCATAAATTACAAATCAAGGTTAATCATAAAAACATATATCCCTCTGTAATTCAAAGGAGACTTGGCATCAATTATTTTCAAAGGGCTATTTAAAGATAGTCCTTGTGAGTCTATTTTTTAGTAAGGACTCTCTATCAAGCATAAAATTCTAGCACCATTGAAATCAATAGGAGTTTTGGCATTGACTGCCATGTGCTCAGGATTTTACTTCAGATGTTTAAATACACCTCTACCCCTATATAACACTGTCCTTGGGAGCCAAAAAATCTTACCGCGTTATAGCCGAATCCACCGGAGTGCGCAGCTCCGCCCCTCCGGAGCGCTGCTTTACCGCGTTATAGCTGAATTCATGTTATATCGGGGTAGAGATGTAGTATCTTCTAATAACGTGTGTTGTCCTGTTTGTTTGTTTATTTCAATAATCTAATACAAGTTGTATCAAAATTCCCCTTTACTTGTTTGCAAAAATAATGTATGCTATGTTGTATGCTTAGTAGACACAGTGTAACTGTCTTTTCTGCTAATTATTGCTGACTGGTAAAAATTAATGCTAGAATTTTCTGTCTTTGTTTAGATGGTTTTTTGGACCAGTCTCACGAGCAGATGCAGAGAAACAACTGTTGTGCCCTGAAAATCAGGAAGGAGCTTTCCTAATCCGAGAAAGCGAAAGTAAAAAAAGCCAATTCTCCCTTTCAGGTATCGCAGTTTTTTACCTTGAGAAATATTGTAAGAGTTTTTCATTTGGCCTGTTTTTCTTTTCTTATTTTCTAGAGTGATAAACTGCATGCATGAGAATGAAATTAAAATCTATAATAATCTCTTGTTCCCAAGAGATACATAAAAGTTGGTAAGAGCCATAGGTCTTTACTAACTTTTACTTTTAGCGCTTTATTAATATGCTCAAAATTCAAATTAACTTTCTGTGCTTATTGCTTTTCATTGTTCCAGCTGCCTTGAAATGAGAAATGTTTTCATAATTAAAGAGCCACAAACACATTAGAGTTGTACATCAGTGCACTTACTGGTTCAGATTGGAAATGAAACACATGCTAGCACTTGGCAGATCTATACAGGATATGAAAACAGTAGAATCTCTAGAATATATCCTTAGTTTTAAGCTGTTCTTTTTGTGGGATTGGTTTGCAAAACTAGACTTCAGAAACACATGATCAATCTGCGTGAAAAGTTAGTTGTATCTATGGTGGTAGGTTTAATTTTTTTATTTAGTCAAGATCCCTCATTCTGGCTTCAGGAGATGTGATGGACTTCCTGGTAAAATTTGTACCTGAAATAGACTGATTACCTACCAAATAGGGAAAAGCATGATTTTACTTACAGGAGCCAACCTTACTTCTTTTTAACGCTAGTCCTAATAGATAATATGAAATATTATCCCATGATGGATTTTCTTGGACACCATTCACCAGATCTGTGATACAAATATAAGCCAAGAGAATTATAAGAGAAGACTGTCAGTGGGGGTATAATGTTGTATACCTGGAGATGTACTGGAAGCAGCTTTCAAAGTTTTTGCTAACAGAGTAGTTTAGTGACTCTTCAGTACTTGCATTGAATTAGGATGGTTCCACACACTCGATTACATTAGCCCAGTAAAGCATTTTGCTGTTACTGGAATAGAATGCAGTAGAGGTGGCAGTATTTTTGAGGCATGTGTCAGCATGCTAGGAAAGTGAACAGCTTGTAATCCACATACATTCTGGCCGTGGTAAATCACCTGGAGACAGCTTAGGCTTTAAAGCACATTCAAAAAGTATCTCACATCCCTGTCAAGGCTGACAAAGGCAACAAAATACTGCAACTCCAGCTAGCAGTATTTTCCATTTCATTGAGGTTGCTCAGACATCGAGATCAGTGTAAAACAAGAAGAAACTGCACCCTTATGGATCATCCCAGACTTATGCTTTGGCATGTTTATAAAGATGTATAATTACACACCTACATAATTCTATTCATGTAATATGTAACCAGTGAATTATAAGAGAGGAACCAGAACCAAAGCCTGAATCTGAGAACCCCCACACTTTGAAAAAAGCATGGGTCTGTTTCAGAAGTTTGTGGTTCTGACCCATTTCTATTAATTGTGTGATAGTTCAGTATTGTATAACAATACTTCTTTACTGAAGACTTCTACAAAGTGGGATTTGACTATTGCAGGGGAGGAGAGGTGTCAGTTTAGACCAGGGCCGGCTCCAGCTTTTTTGCTGCCCCAAGCGGCGAAGCAGGGAGGGAGGGTGGGGGAAGCCGCGATCGGCGGTACATCGGCGGCAGCTCAATCGCGTTGCTCCATTCTTCGGCAGCAATTCGGCGGCTGGTCCTTCGAGCCCTCTCTTTCTCTTCTGCGGCACTTCGGCAGAAGCTCAAAGAGAAAGAGAGGGACTGAGGGACCCGCCGCCGAATTGCCGCCACCGACCCGGACGTGCCGCCCCTTTCCATTGGCCGCCCCAAGCACCTGCTTCCTGCGCGGGTGCCTGGAGCCGGCCCTGGTTTAGACATAATTTTGAGTTACCTGGAACAAATGTATTTATATTGAGTGGAAACCATGTGGAACTCCCAGTGTTTTCAGCTGTTTGACTTTGGTTTGGAGTTTAATTTGTACCTGAAGCTCAAAGCAAAACCCCAGAGGATTTGACTCTGCGAAGATCAAAAATGATAAATATTTTTGCTCAAGCCCCTGTAACCTGAAATCTATGAGGTTCACACTAATATATAATGGAGCCAAAGATATAAGAAGGAGAGATTAATAGGCAAATCTACTTAGGTGGCAGGGGGGAAGAGGAAAAAAACCCTGTCTTTCATTAAAATGAGTACATTTCAGTTCTAATGTGTCATTGTGGAAAAAACTCACATTTCGTAAATGATTTAGAAGGCAAACAAGACTGTTAGAATTCAGCTTCAATTTTTAATTTTAAAGAGAGGTTTTTGTGGGCCACAAATGGTTAAACTGAGATCGCTTCAAACTTTAGATAGGCCACAGAGATCTGGTTCTATCATCCTTACTGCTTGATGTTTGTCATATCTTTTTTTATTTTAAAAATGCGTATGTTGCAGAAGGAATTTTATGTTGATGATTCTAGCATCTGGTGTAAAAGGCATTAATTTTTAAACATGCCTCTGCCATCAGAGGCATTGCCTCTTTTTAATTAAAAGCCATAATTTAGATGTGTTCAGCTTAATTGAGTGTCACTGCCAATAACAGCAAGAAGCTTGTCTCTTATTCTTGAATAATGATATTTGCAAGATTTACTGCATGAAATGACAATGCATTTAAGCACCTGGTATACTTCTATACATACGTTTAAAACTCAGATATGCCTGTTGCTACAACCTTCTTTTTAAATTTTAGATTACAGAAGGCAAATATACCTATCCTCAGTAAATTGCATGGAGGTGTTGAATCTGAGCTGGCGGCGCTCCTGTCTGGGAGCCATGCTCCCAGCACTCGGAGCTAATCCCCTCGTGGAGGCGGATTACCAGGAGCGCTGGGAGAGCTCTCTCCCAGTGTTTGTGCGCGACCACACTCGCACTTCAAAGCGCTGCTGTGGGAGTGTTCCCGTGGCAGCGCTTTGAAGTGTCCAGTGTAGACATACCCTAATACTCAATCCTGGGGCCTTTAAGGTGCTACCAGAATACAAATAAATAACTCCTCAAACACGCAGGTCCTCCACACAAAAACAAATTTCATCTACAGGGAATAGGAAGTCAGTTAAAGTAACAGGATGGGCAAAAGTATTGCCTTGCTTCCCAGTGCAAGAAAGCATTCTCTGGACCCACTGAAATAGAGAAATAGAACCATAAAAGTAGGAATGATGATACTTTTCTGAAATGTTACATATAAATCTGGTCCACTGAAATTGGTATTTCACATTTGTTTCCTCGCTACAATTTCATTATAGGGTTGTGAATGATGATAGTTACCACAGTGTTCTGAAAAGTGGGCATCTCCCAGATCTTAGTTTATAGTGCATTCGGAAGGTGTCAATGCACCTTCTTTCCCCTCTTTCTATGTTTTGTTTTCTCTGTTTTGTTACCAAATTACTCTATTTAAGTTCTTTCCTTCAACCTGATCCCAAATTATGCATCACCAAAATGTACTCAGTATTTTAAATACTATATTAGAAAGAAGCAACTTTTGAGACTCATTCAGTCTAATTATTTTTATGATTTGGAAATATACCTACTTCTGACCCTTATATATAGAAAATCCCTTGTTTTAAACGGCACCTATGCGCCCTCTGGTGGCAGCTGTTGGCAATCGCATGCGACAATACGAATATGTATTCCTGCATAAGGAAGTGTGGGGGTGCGGGCGATGGGGGATATTCTATTCAATTAAAATTGGATTAATGATCAGAAAAACTCCACCGTATGCTAACCTTTTAATTGACAACATTTTGAATGATTCTAACATTGCAGGAACTTATATCAAGTACACACTTGCATGTGTGTGTACATATATATGTACACACTTGCCTGTGTGTGTATGTATATATATTATAATGAGGGTATGACGGTGTGGTATGATGCAAAGGCTTTATTAGCATGACAAAAGGGGAAATAAGAGTCTTCCCAATATTTAGATCTTCAAATTAGAGATGAGTCCCATATACTGTACTACAAGTACCCACATTAGGAGGGGAGGGGAAAGGGACTGAGATATATATTAATTTGTTTTCCCAGTTAAACAATAATAAAGAAAAAAGAGGCTCCACTTGTCAACAAGACTATATTATATCGACTTGCTGGAATTGTAGTTCCTAAAATGTGTACGGAGCCTACAAACAGACAGATTTTCTCACCATCAACCTTCAGATTCATTCTGTGGGAAGGTATTAATGGGAAGGAAACTGTGTGAGGTCACCTAACAGTGGCAAGGTGCCCAAAATAACTGATGGGGCTGCAGGTAGCAAGAAACCCCACCCATTTCTGCTTTCCCCCTCCTTCCTCACAGGCTGACGATATTTTCCAAGTCAAAAACAGGGACACCCCCATTGTGGTGGGGTAGGCAGTAGGGATTTTGGTGAGGGATAAAGGAGGATGACCCGCAAATGGAATTAAAGAGGGACATCCTCCAATGGCAGCCGGGTCAACTATACTACACTATATCTACAGTGTAGCCGACAGCTGTGATATTACTGATGGGACTTACACCCATTAGTCCTTAATGAGCAGTGCAGCTTTCTCCCTACCCGCCCCTTGAGAAGTTCATCTCAAATCATTCCTTTGGAAGTGAAGGGAGAGTTGTCTTGGTCATGGACAAATGTGCAGATCCATGTTAAGTTTCTGCTTCTGCACCAATTCTTGGTCCCTGACACTCACCCTCTACCTCCTCAGATCATGGCCCTGGCTGACTGACGTTCTTTTATAAAGGAGTTCCTAACCTGTCTGTGATGGGCAACAGAAATGTGAATACATCCCTGTTCTTCCTTGCACTGTAGATTGGAACAAAACTGCAATCATGGAACTAAATACAGGCACACATTCCTCTCGCCTCCTCCTTTCATCCAGAACCACCAGAGAATCCTCTGTGGGGTCCTAGGAAAAGGGCAACAGTGCCATAGAACACACAGACCCTCCCACGACCACCACCATCATCTTCCACCCTCAGAACTCGTGGTCATAATTTACAGAGCAACTGAAGAGAAGTAGTGGAAGCCTTGCAGGAGGGTCCACAAAGAGGCAAACTATTAAAGTGCAGGCTGCCCTTTGTTCGAAGTGTGATTAGCAAAGCATTTATTAATAGAAATGCCCATGTCTATGGGCAGCCAGTCATGCATACCGAACATCAGGAAGTAGGGGTTGTACAACGTGGAGGTGTGCATCATGTTGTTATACACATAGGACAGCTGCAGCAAGTAGGAAGGCCTGTCTCTCTGCCACATCTCTGCCAATGGCCTTAGCCCTGCTAGCAGTGTCTGGTTAGCTTGCTTGCAGAGGGCTTTGTATTTTGGGTGGTAGACCGTCATCCTTAGCTTGTGGCTGCCATCAGAGAGCACAATTCCTTAAATGTCTGTTACTCGAAGGGCATGCCTTGGTCTGTGATCACCGTGGAAGGGTTGCCATAGGGCTGGGTAAAGTAGTGCCAGAAGGCTTCTGTGGTTGCTCTGGCCGTGATCTCCCTGAGGGGTGTGGTGACCAGGAATATGGCATAATGATCCACCATGGTCAGGAAGTCAGATGCACTGCTCTGACTTGGCTCCACCTTGTGGTCCAGTGCTAACAATTCCAAGGGCACGCGGGTCTCCATCGGCTGGAGGGGGGCCCAGTCCCCCACCTCCGGGTTAGGCACCTGGGGGACTTATGGGTGGTAGGCACTTCTGAAAATTAGGTCCTTAAATATACATTTAGGAACCTGACTTTGGTTACTCTGTTTTTAAAATGTTGGCCATAAGCTATATTGTACTACTATATATATTTAGTAGCTGGGATCTTATATCTCAATTTATTTTTTAGTCTTTGATGGAGCAGTTGTGAAACACTACAGGATCCAACAGGAGGCTGGAGAAGGCTTTTTTCTTAGCAAAAAGAATATTTTTAAAACATTGAATGCTTTTGTTGACCACTACACCAATAACAGCGATGGCCTCTGTGTAAAGCTCAGGAAGCCCTGTATAAAGGTAAAGTTAATTTTATATTGTGCAAAATATATATTTTCAAACTAACCTGCTGGTTATCAGTCATAAGGTGCTAGGTTGCAAAATGACAACCTGATTCTTTGATGAAGTTGCATGGACTGCAGAACTGTTTCATTCTTGGAGCTGACACATTCATAATAAAATACCCTGACATTTTGAACAAATAATTGTGTGGCTGGAGGAAAAGAATGTGCCAACTTGTGATTTATGAATAGCTCTGGATATTGAGATAAAATCGCCAAGTTCATAACTCTAGATGTCTATAAGTATTACTGAGACAAAACCATCAGGTTCATGCAGGCAATATTTCATTGTCTAAAAATGCTTGCAAGGGGGGTTGATTTTTTAAAAATTTAGGGCTCTTTGACTAGTTGTAGCATTTTCAAGACTTATACAATATCAAGTAACTGCTGCTCTTTCATTTCAAAGTTTTATTTGAAGCTCAACTAACTTTTTTGTATTAAGAGGTACCCAGGATGTGGATTTGTAGATGCTTTTTACATTCTCTTTTGGGTTTTATCTTTATCATCTGTGTGTTCTGTAAGGAAACTTCATTCCTCATAGCTGCAACTTTAACTGACATATTTTTAAACAAAGATTTATTATACACTTTGCTGAACAAATAGCAAAATATCTAATGTTTGTGTTTGGTTCTTTACACCAGAAAAAAGTTCCTGCTCCTTTCGATTTGTCATACAAAACTGCAGACCAGTGGGAGATAGACCGAAATTCTCTGAAACTGTTGAAAAAATTAGGTTCTGGTCAATTTGGTGAGGTGTGGGAAGGTCTCTGGACTAATATCACGCCAGTGGCAATCAAAACATTAAAACCAGGTATGTCACACATCACTTTGAATTGCTAATATTGTCAGGCCATGGCAAGAGCCCAGTTTCATGTTTTGTAAATACTCTTTATAAGAAAATCAGGGTATCTAATCATCTTCAAAGACCTGCATCTTCTGGATAATAGGTAAAATTGAGTTTGTTATTTTGAGACCCTTAAAGATTCCATGGTACTTTGTACTAAGGTTTTATATCCTGCTTGTCCTTTGTTCTTCAATTTCACACACACAACACAAGCTCCACGCCCCATCATATAATGTTGCTGGCACAGAATGGCTTACATGTTTCACCCTAAAGGGTAGCTGCATTTCATCAGTAGGTGAAGTGATCATTTTATCTATAATCTGTAGGCTGTAAAAATCCTTCTGGTGGATAGGTGCTATATTGCGAAGTTTTATTGTTATAGAATCTGTATTTGTATAAATCTCTCTGTTGTTATTCAGAGCAGTAATACAGAGTAAAACACTTTAAATAGTGATTAGAAATGTGATAACACTTTGCATATTTATGACATACTCTACTAATTGCTGATGTTTATCTACTGTATATCCTTGTGTGAATAATGTGACATCTGTTTGATTTTTTCTTTACTTTTAAAATTAATTTTAAGTATCCTTTGCATTGTAAAACAACATCTACCAGCAGATGGCACAAATCACATAGATAACAAAACCAAGCATAGGTGATATAAACATTTTTTTTAAAAATAGGGATATCATAATATGTTTTCTTTCATTCAAAAAGCATTTGTGAGGTTCTAATGACTCTGATTCAGGAAAGTCCCATTGAGGGACTTAAGTTTTTAGCCTGTGTGGAATCTCTGTCCTCTTTATTTTTCATTTTTTTGTTTTGTTTTTTGGAATGGCCACATACAATTTCTTCCCTATCCTTCAAGTGCACATAATCAGTAGGCTCCTGATGATACACCCTGACCTCTCTGATTATTTTACGAGTATGAGCCGTTATCAGGACCTTTTGCATTGTGATCCCAGGATCTATAGAAGGCAACTTATAAAACAAAATTGAGAAAAAAGTTTAGAGTCTCAAATATAAATTAGTCACCTGAAGGAGCTTCACTGGGGTTTGAGGAGAGAATGATGTCATGTTACCTTCTCTCCCCTCTAACAGATTTGGGGCCATTTTAATAGATATTCCACTTCTCTCACTATCCTGCATTTAACAGCAGAATGCATAATGTGGCCCTTATATTTGATTTTTCTACTATTTTTAACTCAATATTTCATCTCTTTTTTCTCTTTGGCAATGCTGGAAGCCATCCATTTCACACAGACAAAAATTAAGGTACAGCGAGAGTAAGACTAATCTCTCTCTCTCTCTCTTTTCTTTAAAGTGACCAATGATCTTGAATGCCCTAATGGAATGCCCAAGCTCCAAGGTGTTCAGCATCCCCAGCCCCACAATGGGAATGTCAGTGCTCAGCACCTTTGGAAATCAGGCGGACGGTATTTTAAGTTGAACACCCAAAATCAATGGCCACTTTGGGCATCCAAAATTTGCGCCTTTTAAAAAAACATTTTGGCCTTCCTCTCTCTCTGCTTCAGTCTCTTCCTCTGTAAAATGGGAATACTATTTTCCAACCTGGAATCAGAACTGATAGAGCGACATAGAAACACATTCCCCCTAGTCCTAACTGAACTCGCCCTACTAATTTTTTAAAAAGCTATCAGGAATGATAAGTCATTCAGTTATTTGGTTGGCTGATACCAATTCCATTTGGTACTACTTAAATTGTACAACAAGGAAGGTGAGAGCCCAGATAATCAGCCCTTATTCCTTCATGAAAGAGATTGATTTTCACATGTGTTCAGCCACACTACTCCTTTCCACTGAGATAACTCCCTTGACTATTGCTCGGTTTGTCAACCCTAGCTACATCCCCATAGGTGTCACTCGAAAGCTTGAGAAACACAGCACAGTACTACCGCATTATCACAAGGGAAGAAAATAAGGTATTTCTGCTTCAGTTTTTATGTTTACGGTTGGTTCCTGGGCTGTGGAGATTGGTTAAACACTTGCAGCTTCACGTTGCTGATTCATCAATCCCAGAAGCCATTTATTGCTACATAGATAATAAGGCAATAAAAGATGATCACATAAATAAACTAGTAGATTTGTTAGATAAAATTGAAAATTTTACACTGTAGTTAGCAAAGAACCATAGTTTATGTGACGACTCTGGCAATAACAGAAGCATAGCAGTGTGGAGTGCTGGAAGACTTTACCTCTGATATTTACAATTAGATTGGACAAAGTCGTAGATAATATACTATAGATATTGTTCTGCTCTGGCTCAGGAAATGGATGAGATGGTTTAATTCATCTTCTCCATCTCTATTTTCTGTGGTGTGATCCAGCTCTTGTTTAAGTCAATGGAAGGAGTTCCACTGGCTTCACAGGGGGTGGGTTTGGGCCGTGTGATTCTATTCTTGATATACCTTATAAAATATCACAATATTCTACAGTAAAGACAAAGTATTGTGATAACAAGATTCTGTGTTCAGAACACTACAGCATATTTTTCTAAGGGATTAACTTTTTTTGTAAAATGTCCTACCCCCACTGTGAAACCTCCACATTTTAATCTCCTAGCACATTGGGTTTCCAAAGCTTACTTTCATAATTTCAGCAATCTCTGTCAGACATATTGATTTAAATAATTTTAAATACCCTAATCAGAGTAATAAAAGCTTAGTTTGGTATTAATAAAAATGCAACAGAAGCCAGATGTTGTAATTTACTTCATCTTAATATAAAGGCAATCGGGAAATGGCCTCTGTAGTTCATGAGTTTTGACATTAAGGTTGTTATATTCTGGGGCACATACTGATTCTTCACACTTAGAATACAGAGATATAATGGTCTTCATAGAAACATAGCATAAAAAGCCAGAATTGGCCATTATATCATCTGGTATTTCCTCTTATATATCATAGGCCATTAAACTTCACCTAGTTAGCCCTGTACTGAGCCCAATGACTTATCTTTGACTAAAGCATAACTTTCAGAAAGGCATCCAGTCATGACCTGAAGGCATCAAATGATGGTGAATCCACCACTTGCCTTGGTAGTTTATTCCAATGGTTATTCACCTTCACTGTTAAAAATATGTGCCTAATTTCTAATTTGAATGTGTCGGCCTTCTATTTCTAGCCATTGGTAAACTTTTCTCCATTCCACTTTCAGACCCAATACCTACTCCAGGTAAAGGTACTTATATACTTATCAAGTCACCTCTCAATTTTTTTTTTTTGATCAACTAAACAGATTGCGTTCTTTAAGTGTCTCACTGTAAGGCATTTTCTCCATCTTTCAAATCACTCTCGGGACTCTTTTCTATGCCTACTCCAATTTTTCAATAATTCTTTTAAAAAATCCTTTAAAAATGCTTCCATTGCTGGAAGATCTCCCAGCCCCAGGAAAATCTAATTCCCAGAATGCTGTAGGAAGTGGTATTGGTGAACCTTTCCCTAAGCCAATTTCCCAATATGGTGTTAACAAGTATTGAGATACTGGAAGTCCTGTTTTTTTGTTTGTGTGTTTGGTTTTTTTTGGGGGGGGAGGGAGTATAAAGCTTATATCCTGTACAAAATCAGTGGGTTTAGTTAGATTATCACAACCTAAATTCTCCCTGCAATTTCAGTTGGATGCCTTATTCTTCTTCACTTCCTATCAAACTGTTGTCTACTATTGTACATTATTAAAATGTTGCTGCATTCCATACCGATGGGCTAGGTTTCAGTGATGAAGGAAGTGGTTTCAGAATATTTAATGTGTACAATAATGCAGGATGAAAGGTGATATGTAAATGTAAGATATTATTATCTTTGTGTTATAATGATTATTATTCCTGGTACTTGTAAACTACCAGTTGATGACTATAAGTGAGCACCAAACTGAGCTTATGCCAAGCTTCATTATGCATCATTTCTTACAAGTCAGAAATATGATACAAAGGGAGTAACAGTTAATTATTGTGCAACTCCTTAGTTCGGAGTTAAAATGAAATAGGCCTGGGATTAAACAGACAGGTGTATATACTAAAAATAGACAAACCTTAAAATGATTGTTAATGTCTATATAACATTTAAAAGTGAGAAAAAAAGGCAATGGTAAAAATAGAGAATGTAGTGGCCATTAAGCATGGTATGCACAAACAATAAAAAGAATTAGGAGTGGAGTCAAATATACACATTTTAAATCATCCTTTCATAAATTGTCTTTTTACATAGTAAACTACACCTCTACCCCGATATAACGCGACCTGATATAACACGAATTGTGATATAACGCGATAAAGCAGCGCTCCGGGGGGGCGGGGCTGCGCACTCCGGTGGATCAAAGCAAGTTCGATATAACGTGGTTTCACCTATAACGCAGTAAGATTTTTTGGCTCCTGAGGACAGCGTTATATCGAGTAGAGGTGTATTCAGAAAGATCTATATTTTTATATGTCTATAAAGCACTTACACACTTTATATAAAACATAAATAAGAACTTGATGTTTGCATAGGCAAGCGGTGCACATATACAAATCTGATGCCATAGAAAATTTGGGGTAAGAGTTCCAAATACACCCATTGACTTACAGTTAGACAGGCTCCTAAGTCACTTTTGAAAATG